AAAGCACATCCCTTGCGCAAAAGCACATGCCAGTGTAGACGCTCTCTTGCGCAAATACTTTAACGCAAAAACGCTTGCGTTAAAAGTATTTGCGCAAAATCTTGCCAATGTAGACGTAGCCTTTGAGTAGGCGGCTCTTGAGCACCATCAGCAGTAGAAGAGTAAAGGGTGTCAGGGGAGACTGCTTTCAAGAGGACAAGTGTTGCCAATGCTCATGACTGAATTCACGAATTTTGTTTCCCTCTAAAGCACCAGCTGCCGGAGTCCCGCGATAAATAACAATCACAGCTTTTTCTAGTCCTCGTGGTTTAGGAGAAAAGGTTGAAAAAGTGAACCGTTAAAGGTGCCAGTACAAAAAGACAAATGGAAAGAACACTGCATGTATCATTTTAATACTCGCATGGGGTTGTGTGTCAAGCTTATGATTAGGAGGGGGTTTTTTTTGGGGGGGAGGGAGGGCTTTTCATGACTTTTCAATGCTTGGAGAGAATTAGAACCACAACATCTGATTTTAGTGAGGGTGACATGAACTTAGCTGAGTTTAACTGACACTGTGGGATCAAGCTGATGAAAGAGGATTTTCTTACCCACCCTGCTGGAGTTCTCTTCAGCAGCCCATCACATCTGCAGAGCTGCCTCTCGCTTACTGATCAGCACCTAAGGAGCTTGTGTAAGCAGGCGATTTTCTGTATTCATCCTTACATAGCTTTCCCACACCTCGGATATGGCTAAATCCGAGAACCCTAAAGGTTAGGCAGGCATGTTAACGCCTTTGATACTTAGGCTAACTTACAAAACTATTGGTAACTCCCTCTCCTACTGGACACTCCTAGTTGTCACCTCCCACCCCACACTGGAACCCACATGGAGTATCATTAAACAATTACAATCCGTGCCCTGCGGGGATCCCAACCTGAAAGAAGTATTTCCTGTACCACCACTCTGGACAGGGACATCCTGGGGTGAGGGGCACCCCCCCCCCACCACAGGCTTCCCCCTGCCTCTGCTCTGCCCTACCTCACTCCACTCCTTCCTCCAAGCCCTGCCCCTATTCCACCCCACCTCTTCCTGCCTCCCTGCCCCCACTGCACTCCTTCCCTCAAGACCCCACCCCAGGTGATGCAAGCCAGGGGATTAATGATGGGCCATGCTGTGGGGCAGGGGGAGACTGCCCCCCGACAGTGGAGGGAGCTGGAGCTTCCCTCTGCTCTGCTTCACTGAGGTGACGGGAAGCGGAGTGCCCTAGTCCCAGCTCACTCCCCAAAACAGGCCTCGGGGAGGGGGGCTTTTTACAGTGCAGGGTGGGGGAGCAGGACAGGGTGGGGGTAAATTTCCATTGGCCATGGGGAGGGGGAGGAGGGAAGGTTGTCACACACGTGAGGTTGGCATGCACTTGAGGGGTGCCTTTTACTATGGATGGTGGGGGAGCAAGGCAGGGTGGGGATGGGGGTTATTTCCCATTGGCCACAGGGGCAGGGGAGGTTGGCACACGTAGTGGCTGGGGGGAGGGGTTTGGCATACAGCAGC